TTGGAGGTATTGAGTGAGCTTGGTGTGCCAGGGTTGTTGTTGGGGGGCCTGCGGCGTTTAAATGTACAAGGTGCCATGATGTCTAGCTGAGAGGAGAGGGTGGAATTGTAGAAGGAGGTTGCAGGTGAGGTTTGAGATAGGTAAAAGGAGAGTTTGGAGATTAGTGGAGAAATGCTCTAGGTCAAGACATTGGAGGTTTCTGTGGGAGTGATGTTCAGGCGGTGGTGTCAATTGGGTCTTAGGTATGCCAATGTCAAAAGTCAGCAGATGGTGGTCAGATAGAGGAAAGGGAATATTGGAGAGATTAGAGGCAGTACAGATGTTGGTGAAGGCAAGATCAAGAGTATTTCCCGCTGTATGGGTTGCTAAATTGGACCATTGCGTAAGGCCAAAGGAGGAGGTTACAGAGAGCAGACGAGAGGCATCAGTGCAATTGCGGTTATTGATTGGGATATTGAAATCCCCAAGTATAAGGGAAGGAGTGCAAGATGAGAGGAAGTGGGGAAGCCAGGAAGAAAAGTGCTCAATGAATAGTCTAGGATAACCGGGGTGGGGGGCAGTAGATAGCAATTCTTAAAGGAGTGGGTTTAAATAGGCAGACAGTGTGAACTTCAAAAGAAGAAAAGGATAGGGCAGGGGGAGTTACGATTGGTTGAAAGGTACATTGAGGGAAGAGAAGGATGCCTACGCCGCCTCCTTTACAGTTGAGTCTGGGAGTGTGAGAGAACTGTAGCCCACCAAAACATAAAGAGGCAGGAGTAGCGCTATCAGAGGGGGACAGCCAGGTCTCTGTAAGTGCAAGCAGCGCGAGTTTGAGATGAAAAAGTCGTGTATGGTTGTTGATTTTAAATTACTGCAGATGGCATACCATTTGCAAAAACAGACCACCCAAGGTATTGCAAATGGGGAAAGAGGATGAATATTTTGTCACTTTGAGACATTAACTATATTTGACACTTGGAAGTGTGCACTGCGTGAAGATGGGGAAAATTTGTAAATTAGTAATTATCGAAAAATTAAAGTTTTTTTTTGTTGCAGATTTGATGAATATGGAATGTAATAGTTAAATAAGGGACCATAATGGTGATGTAACACAAATACATGTACAGAATAACAGACACAAGACTATATAATTTGCTAGTTGAAATAACTGGCACATCCGAATGATTATATCACAAAAGTATGAGTTATGAATGGGATAGAGAATATTAAGACATGAATAGGATGCAAAATATATATATATAGTATGTTTGATAGAGTTTCTCATGGGTGATGTGATAGACAAAGGATTAATAAAGAAAAAATTGGTTTCATAAAGTTAAAAGCATGAACGAATAAATACAAACAGATTAGAGTAATTGAGTATGAACATCTTTCCACATTTTGAGAGATCAATAATTATACTTGAAACCTGGAAGAGCGTTCAATGTGTAAATATGAAAAAAGCCTAGATTAGCATTAATTATAGAAAGTCTAAAGAAATTTTTTTTTCCGCTCACTCTTTTGTATGTGGTTTGGCTACCTTCCTGCTCCCTCCCCCTAGGTAATATAATCAAGGAAAATGGTTGAAGGGAGAGGGGATACAGGTGGTCAAATATTCCAAATATTTTACCAACTGTTTAAAGAGTGTTATAGAGAAAATAGAAAAAGTTGAAATGGGAACTCTAATTATGGGTGGAGATTTCAATTGTGTCCCAGACGTGATCATGGATTTAAAAAAATAAAAATAAAAAAAATAAAAATAAATAATGGCAAAGTTAATAAACAAATTACTAAACAGTCCAATGCTTTGAAAAATGACAGAAAATTTTATAGATATATGGTGAGCAAATTATACATCTGAAAGAAATTATACACATTTCTCTAGGGTACATCAATCCTCTTCGAGAATTGACCTAATCTTGAGGGAAAATAATTTGGTGGAGCAGATCATAAAAATTATGATTAGTGATAACCCGTGGGCAGACCACATCTATATCATTTTTGTTTTGAAAGATTCTAATTTACGTAAACCATTTGGTACATGGCGTTTGGATGACAATATATTATCTAAAAGTGAGAATTCTAAAAGTCTCACAGAAGCTAAAGGGAGATTTAACCCTTTGAGGGCCAGTGATCTCCCAGACACATTGCAAAGCATTCATAAGAGGCCATTTGATTAAACTCAAAAATAGAAAAAAAAAAAGGGGGGGGGGGAATTGGGCACAACAGGAGAAGTTATATATTTAGTCTAAATAAAGAATTATCTGACCAAAGAAACGACAAGTCCGCTTTTAGAACTAAAAAAACCCCAAAAAACACGTACAGGTAATAGAATACAGTGCATTGAAATAGATCAAAAGATATATGACTCCAGAGAATGTAGCTAAAGCATTTCAAAATTACTACAAGTTGTATAACATACCAAATCAATCAGGAGTACAACAGATTGCAAACTAAAAAAAAAAAAAAAAAAAAATAAAAACACACAGACATGAATACCCAAGATAACTAAAATAAACGTTTTAAACGCCTGGTCCACATGGTTTGACCAACAGGTTTTATAAAGTCATTGGGGAAATTATAAGTGAACATCTAGCTAATTTGTTTAATGAAGTGGTCACTAGGGGCACAAGACCAAAAGAACTATCCCATGCAAATAACATTCCGCTGTTAAAGAAAAATCCACAGGAGATTAAAAATTATCTTTCAATATCTTTAATGTAGACTCCAAACTGTGCTCTGCAATTCGAGCAGAGAGGATACTTATTTTGAACTTGGTTCACGGGCACCAATTTGGTTTTGTGCCAAAAAAGACAATCCTGTTGTAATACTAGACATCAGCTATATGTAATGGATTGGGGTGCGCGTAATGAGATTCCCCTTCGGACACTGGATTCAGAAAAGGCATTTGACAGGATGGGGATACAGGTTTGAGGCATTTGGCTTTTGCAGATGGTTGTTAAACACAATATATTAGTAGGAGTGGATTTAGGTTCCGAACGGTTTGATCTAAATAATGGCACCTGTCAGGGGTGTCCTCTGTCACCAATTTTATACATATCTATAGAACCTCTTAATAAAAAATAAAAAAAATTAAAATCTAGTTCTTGGATTAAGGGTGTGCCAACAGACTCAAATGACCTTTAATGTTTATATGCGGATGACACCTTGGTCACTGACAACCTATAACATCCGTCAAATATTTGATGAAGGAAAGACAAATTTAGACAGATCTTTAGTTATAAAAGATCTGAAAAACTGCTTAATGAATATGGATCTAAACCTGAAACGAAATATTTTTAAATACGTGTAACTTCACTGACATGAAGGATACATTTAACTACTTGGGGGTTATGTTCCCTATATAAAAATATGTTTTTACAAAAATAAAAAAGTATATCGGATCATAGAAACTAATTTATTGAGCATTATGAAAGTCACTGTCACCATGAAAAAAATGGGGCAGTGTTATAGTAAATTGGATAGGTAGAATTAACATTGTAAATGCATATATTCTCCCTATATGGACTTCTTTAAAATGGCTCCCTTAAGAATACCAAAGCGCTGGTTAGATCTCATTCAAATAAGTCTTAGAAATTATATATGGAAGGAGGGAAAAAAAAAACAAAACACTGGATAGAACCAAGGTGCCTAGGTAATAGGGTGTATCAAGGAGGAGTAAATGTTCCCGTTATAAAAAAAAAAAAAACAAAGCCAGGAGGATATACCATGTGAATTTAAAAATAAATAAAAAATAAACCATCGTGTAAAGGGTGGTACAGTTTGGAAGTAGATACATTAATTCAGAGTTGTACAAACTCATATGGCAAAATATAAGTTAAGGTTGAAACTGATAAAATAAAAAATAAGATATTGGTACACTCTTACAATATAGGGATTAGAGACATTGGAATTTCTTATCCAAGACTTATCTTTGGCAAGGTGGAAGGGTGTAAAGATTAATATTTTGGACAAGATTAAGAATGGGAGAAATATTAAACCCTTTTCCTCTTTAGTTTCTGACTACAATATCCCAAAATATTTAAGGATCAAATCATATTAAAATATATCTTCCAAGAATCAGATAGAGAATACAACCTTATAAAACAAGTGTTTGATCCAAGGGATGAAATAAAGTGACTGGCTAGATGTTATGATCTAGTAATAATGAATATACGGGAGGAAACGTCTAAGGTGATCTTAAAATGGGAAAAGGAACTTCATGTTCGAATTTATCCCAATGAATGAGGTAAAGCCTTAGTGGGCATTAAACACATTCATAATCACCAAGAGAAACATTCTTTAAAGTAATAAATGGTATTTGGTGCCTACGAGATTAGCTAAAATTGACCCAAATACTTGAAGATTCTGTTGGAGATGTGGTGTCGCGATAGGAAGTTACATGCACATCTAGTGGAGTTGCCCAAAGATTAAAAAACAAAAACTATGGGATTGTGCATTTGAGTTGTTAGGTATGGACCAGATTAAAATATAAAGTAAACCACAATTGGACATTTTGCATATGTTCTGGCCCATCCCAAATTAAACAATACTATCTTGCAGTTCATGGCTTTACGGCAGTCAAAATTCTAATAGTGAGAGATTGGGAAAACAAAATACAATATTCCCAGTGGAAATATCAAATTATTTACCAATTAAAGATGGAAAAGGGTATGGGTTGGATAAACAACTCCTCCTCCAAAAACACGATAAGATAAAAAGGTCTCCAGAACAGGCACAATAAAGTACAAACTCAGGTCATTTAAATCTAAGATTACCATTGTCTTGCATGCAGAGTTGTATTGATACTGTGCAAAAAATACGAGAATACAGGATCACAAGTGTGTCCTCCTTCCCCAGGGGGACATTTGTCTAAGAACCAAACTGATGCAAAGGGAAAAATATGACAGATTATAAAGAGCTGTCAGTCTCCAAAAAGCATCACTTACTATGATGCCAGTATTGTTAAAACAAGGGGAAATCGCTTTCACATAACATCTAGAAAATACAACTGGAACTTATAGTTTAAAACTTTATTTTTTTGTATTTTTTTGTATTTTTTTATAAACTTTTTGTAGGTTTTTTTTTTCTTTTTTAAATATTTTATTTAATAAAAAGTAGTCCATCACTCAGTTCAAGTTAATGAGTAAAGGTGATGGAGAGAAAGGAGGGAAAAGATCAGGAGAAAAGGGAAAAAAAATAAAAAAAAAATAAAATACAAAAACAAACACTAAAGGTCTGCCTTGGAATTGCCCAATTTTCTTTATAAGTTAAAAATAAAAATTGTTTTATTCCAGTCTCTGTAAAAAGATGAGAGTTGAGAACTCCCACCCCACAGACCAAACCAAAACAAAAAAAAAAAACAATTTTCCCCCCATTGGGGCCAGTGGAAGGATAGGAACTGCCTCACACTGGAGAATCCACACATCGTAACTCTTTCGGACAGTTTACTCTCCATTGCCTTGGATATCCCTTGCAGGGCTTTGGAGGCAGGTCCTACACGCTTGCCTCTGGAAGCCCTCAGATCCATCACCTCAGGAAGTCTCTATGCAGGCTGGGGGCCACATTCTGCCTCATGCAGTTTCCAGGACCACAGGGGCTGGAGGCAGGATTGCTTCGGGGGTTATGACTGGAGGGCTAGTTTAAAAGCTCAGTTACCGGGTGGGTGGAATGGAAGTTGTTGGGACGGATGTGATTGAACTGCAATAATAACCAGAAAGCAATGATCATAAAAAGTAATTCACAGGCTATATTAAAAAACAAACAGTGTTTATGATCAGCATTTGTTCAAACGATATGAGATCATTACATTGACTGTTTTTACAGATGCATGCATATACAAAAAAACACAAAAAAAAACAAACAAACAAAAAAAACACACTACAAGTCTTTCCCTTTGTGGGTTTAGCCAATGCAACACTACCTCTAATCTAGTTTGTGGACAACATTTTGTATAAAAAAATAAAATAAAAATACACAAGTAAAGGATTCTTTAATGTACCTGAACAAAAGGCTCTGACAGTCCCTAATATTGGGCTATGACAGAAGCTCATCTTTTATTCAAACACAAACTTGAACCATGAAAATAAACTTCTTTCAAGACACATGGGTAACAAAATCTAAAAGAGAAATACAAACTTTTTTCTAACATTCAGGTTAGAAGTTAACACCACTCCCCCTCCCCCCCCCCCAAAAAGCGAAAAAAATATATAAAAAAAATACCTTTAAACAAACCCACCTGGATGATGCTGTATATAGGTGTACGCTGAAGGGTTTGAAACGGTTGTCTGTTGAACACCGCCCTGTGGAAGACCTCCATGGGTCTGGGAATGATGTAAAAGCATAACCTGGGGAGGATGAGGGCCACCAGGGTGTGGGGGGTGAGGGCCACCAGGATGGGGAGGGGGAGGTGCTCCTGTCATTCCAGACTGCACATGAGCCTTAAAAAGTGAATCGAGGAGAGAACATAAAATAAAATTAGATATAGATATAGCCACACAGTCTGGGAAAGAAGGGGGAGCGTGGAAGTGAGAAGAGGGGGGAGGGAATCTATATTTTATATATCAGGTGGGGTGCAATGGTGGAGGATAGTAATGTTCTCTATCCCAAGAAAGCCCCAAGGAGACGGATAGGTTTAAGTACCTGAGCCACGTGAGACATATTTGTGTACCCATGCTGAAGCTGCTGATGTGCATGGATGGCATATACAGCTTGCTGGGGGTAGCTGTTCTGTGGGGACTGTGCAGTTGGCCCAGGAGTCATGGAGGGGGGAGTTGCTGTTAAGGCAGTTGCATGGTACAAATTCTGCTGAGGTTGACCGCTACCCAAATGCGGAGGCTGGCCACCTTGATGCTAGAGAGATGAAACACCACGCAATAGATTAGTCAATATAAATATACACATATCCTGCACATATTACATGCCTGTAAGAATACACAGTAACAATTTACTAGCGGACAAAACCATGAAACACTGAACTGATACACTAAAAGGATAGCAGGACACTAGCTGAAAACAAATATCTGGAGAATGCAACAGGAAAAACCTAATCTAGTATAAATTAATCAGACTCCCATCATTTAAGAGCCACCAAAGAGTTGCAATGCAAAATCAATATGAATTTGTCAACCAACCTCCCTCTTAATACAGGATGGGATCAGGTCCAGACCATAATATTTGGGGTGGACACATCCAAAGCCATGTCAATGGCGTTCTAAATGTAATCAATAAAAGACATACGTGATCCCTATTAATAGCAATTTCTCAAACTGGTTTTTCCAAAATGAAGGATAGTGTGCGTTTTAGCTTCCACTAAAGGTAAAACATAGCATGGTGTACGGTTAACGAAGAATTAGTTTCTTCCTCATTCTGACTGCTCTATAATGATACAATACATCATTAAATCCTTTATAAACAATTAATTTTCAAGCATAGATCAGAAAAACATTAAAAACCAGACACCAGTTAGGCTTCTGAAGGCTCAAGTTGGTATCTTGTAGACCACAAAACCAGTGGGCAGCTCAAGGCATAGGCAGGAAGTAGACTCACCTGCACAGGACTGGGATTAGCATGCTGGGATTGTTGCTGGCTCTGGGTAGGGGTGCTAGCTGGCTGTGGGTGAAGCTGCGCTGCATGGTGCGAGTACGACTGATGCACAGTGGCTGCAAGCAAAAATCACATTAGTGTTATGTTTGATGCAAGGTACATGCACGAAACACCCCCCAAAAATTCATATGTTGCCTACACTAGTGGTCAGTGTGAGACTCACCATAGAGAGTTTGTGGATTGGGCTGATCGGTGGGAGGGTACTGAGGATTAGATGAAGAAACCAAAGCTTGATGGTTGCCAGATGCAATCAAACGTGTGTTACCTTGAATCATCTGAGCAAAAACAGGCTGAAAAAAAAATAAAAAATAAAAAGTCAGGCATTTAAAGAGGTCTCAAGTAAATACCCAAAGAGTAAAACTAATCCCATGTACAGTCGTTAATGCATTCTAAGTAAACATGGGATTTGGCCTGTTTAGTTCCTATCCATATATTATACCTGAGAAGAATAATGGGCCACAGGCTGCATCATTGTTGGCTGTCCAGGGAACTGCTGAGGGCTGTAGATGTAAGGTGAATATGGCGTGGCTGCTACTAGAGGAGGCCCAGCAGCAGCTGCTGCTTGCATGAGAGAAGGAGCGGAGTTTGGCTGGTCAGAGCGCTGAGGAGGAAGAGATCCTGCAAATAGGAATGAAAAGGCTCAAACCTAAGGCTACAAAAACCAGTGGCAGCAGTGAAAGCATTGAACCCATAAGCAATACAGTAACATATGACAAAAAAAAAAAAAAATGGATATCCAATTTTCTAAAAAGCTGCTGTGTAGGGGAATAAAAACAAACACCCCTTACCTTTTGGTCTGTATTTCCCCTGCTGCCCTGGCACAGAGCCTGGATACTGGTACATCTGAGGAGCCTGGGAAAGAGAAGGGGCATGTAAAACTCATTTGATGGGATGTTGGACAAACAAAACCTGGAAGACCGTTTAACATCCACTCACTTGCACAGTTGGGCTCATGTGAAGCTGGGGAATGTAGGATATGTATGGACTGTACACCCCACTCTGCCCAGCAGTCAGCATTGGAATGGTGGTGGAGTGGTTCCTTGGTCCAGGGGAGGTGGGCGTACTTGTTGCTTTGTTCTGGGGGAGAGGGAACAAAGCATTAAATAAAATCTCATGACATGCACAGACCAACTCCAAACATCCTGTATGTATTGCCTCAAATAGAAGCAGATGCCAAGTAAACAAAAGCAAAGAAGACCTAGCAAGTTTATACATTCTCTGCCAATGACACAGAAGCCTCAGTATTATACAGATTTATTTTGTTACTCCACACAACAAAATTATAGCTAGAGAGAAACCTCAAGGAGAGTTAGCAGCAATAACATACCACAGCTAGAAGGGTTTTGGAAGGGTTAAATTCTTTAGCATTCGGATTCAAGGTGGATTTCTTCACTTGACTAAAAAGGTAAAGAGACAAGATTTTTGTATAGGAAACATGCAGTTTTCAGCGCTTGACAATATGCCAGACATTTTGTATATGGCAATAGCCAACTTACTCGCACACTGCTGGCTCCTCCTTTCCTTCGGTTTCAGTCTTGCTTGGAGGACTAACTACCTCATCTTGCGGCTCCGAATTGTCACAAACTCTGTCTTTGTCTTCGGCTGGCTCAAGGATTTTCTGCACGGTGCTGGGAGGCTCTGCTCCTTCACATGGGATGGAGTCTGGCTGAGGAACTTTTGTCTCCAATGCATCTCTTGGCCTTGATGAGAAGGCTTCAGACTCTGGGCCAGCACTTGGCTGTAGCTAAACAGAGACCATGAAGTACAACTTAGGAAGTGGCCATATTGACCCATTACTATCTATTGGGCAACTGAAGCAGTACTAAGGATGTGAAATAATGTGTTGTATTAAATATTTAATATAAGAGTGAATAGATTTATACTCAGCATGATTAATTTTTTTCTTCAACACACAATCAAGAAAAAAATATGAGCCTAAAAAAATAGGGTACAAGCCACTGATCTTTTTTTATATATATTAAGACATTTAATTTTGATTCATATCACTTACTCTGAACTCTGCCCCAAATTTGCGCAGTTCATCCAGTTGATTTCGCTTTTGATCAATCTGCAGCACTGAAAGTTAAAAACAAAATTAGAGTGGTGTGGGAGAGGGGAGATCACTTTTTTCCCTTTAATTTAATCTTCATTATTAGTGATCTACAGGAATATTTAACCCCTTAAGGACACAGTTTCAGAAATAAAAAGGGAATCATGACGGAATATTATTACCATCATGTGTCCATAAGGAGTTAAGAGAGGAGCAAAAAAAATATATACATTAATCCCAATTACCATGGGCTCTTTAACGTGCAGACATTGCATAGTGCCAAGGAAGCACCAGTTTAACCCCTTAAGGACACGTGACATGTCATGATTCCCTTTTATTCCAGAAGTTTGGTCCTTAAGGGGTTAAAAGAGCTTGGGCACCGTTTAGTAAACGCACTCAATTCACACTAGCCTCCTTACTCTGGCAGTTTTAAAGGCAAAGCTGGGCATTTTCATAAACTACTAAGCACTACTGAATATTAAAGCTTTACGGCTGGATGAACGAGCCTAATATGCATTAGAATGCATTCAGAGAGGAGGTAGCTTTATTACATTTGAGATGGCCCAAGTTAAAAAAGATGGAATTTCTAATATCCAGAAACTGGAAAACTAAAAAACTTCCCAGTATAGAAATATATAATAAACCAATTATTTCAATTACGAATGGAGCTGGCAATTAATGAACATTCAAATATTAAATTAACAAGACAATGTAGAGATGAAAGATCTGATTAAGAAATATCACTGGAAGCCCCTGTACAAGAAATTGATATCCGTTAGATAAAGTAAAGGATAATAGTCATTAGAACCCACCGATCCACTGTGACACACACTCAATGCGATATATCAGACATACAAGTACAAACCTATATGTTCAACTTATAGACAATCAAATTAACTAAATTGTATGTTATTTGTACATGTCATATAAAGAAAACAATTTAATAAAAATAAGTTTAAAAAAATGCATTCAGAGATTGGACATAAGGGAAATTACAAACCTTTACAAGGCTGTTTGATAACATCAGACTGAGCGTTCTGTTCTGGTGTACGACCTGGCTCTCTCACTGCAGCTGGAGTAGGAATCTCTTTACCTGAATAATGTAAACAAATTAGTTTTCAGAATCCTGCTGGACTCAACCATTAAGAGTTTAACTAATGGCATAAATGGCCACAATACTTTCCAACACGAGTTGACAGACTTTTGTAAGATTTCAGCAATTAAAACTGTTTTAAGAACTTACAATTTTAAAATAAATAAAATCTTTATACATAGGTTGAAGTTTACAAAGACACTTTTTGCATTACATGTTCTTACCAGGGGTTGTTAAGGGTACTTCACTGAACATGTTAAGCACTAAAAGCACGTTTGGATGAGTTGTTAGTTTTCGGTTTTTATTTTTATATTATCCTACAGAGACACTCCGTTTTCTTTAAAGGACCACTCTAGGCACCCAGACCACTTCAGCTTAATGAAGTGGTCTGGGTGCCAGGTCCTTCTAGGGTTAACCCATTTTTTTTATAAACATAGCAGTTTCAGAGAAACTGCTATGTTTATGAATGGGTTAAGCCTTCCCCTAATCCTCTAGTGGCTGTCTCATTGACAGCCACTAGAACTTGCGTGCTTCTCACTGTGATTTTCACAGTGAGAGCATTAGCGTCCATAGGGAAAGCATTGTAAATGCTTTCTATGCGGCGGCTGAATGTGGCGCGGCTTTGTGCGCATTCAGCCCAGGAGGAGGAGAGGAGGAGAGCTCTCCGCCCAGCGCTGGAAAAAGGTAAGTTTTTAACCCTTTCCCCCCTTCCAGAGCCGGGTGGGAGGGGGTCCCTGAGGGTGGGGGCACCCTCAGGGCACTATAGTGCCAGGAAAACGAGTATGTTTTCCTGGCACTCTAGTGGTCCTTTAAGGAAGGCAGCCATGAACACCTATATTCATTAATAAACATGAAGTAAGAACTTTGGAATGCTAATAGAAGTTGCTTCATAAATCCCTTACAGAAGAGCACTACACCTGACTATCTCTTAAAGCAGCATTGTCCCCCTCCATCCCCAAAACACTCATTATGACTGTGCTGGAATATCAGTGAAGTTCCAACAGTCAAGAGGTATACAGAGACCAAGTTCTACCTTGTCTCTGTATTTCTCCTCTGCCCGACTGAGCCCACCTGGTGACGTCCCAGTTGGACAACTTTGCAATTTCAGCAAAGACACCAAATAGTGACAGTGCCACTTTAAAATGTGCCAAGCACATTTTTCATGAAAAATAATGAAGACCAGGAATTGCAGACATACCATAGCCAGTTCTTGGTCTTTGCAGAAGCTGCTATACAGAAGTTATTCTAGAATTTGATCCCCCTCTTGAATACATAAACTCTGTAAAGCATTAGATGGAAAGCTCAACATAAATGAAATGTTTTGCTGTTTCTTAGCCTCTGTAAATGCTATTGCAGCATTTACTCCAACGAATAAAACCGTGTGTATAATATATATATATATATATATATATATACACACACATATATATATATACATACACACACACACACACACCCCTCCACCCCCCGACCCCACACTTCATCGTTCTGGAGCCACCACCCAAGTTTTGAACATGCGCATGCTCTATTGCAGTATCATGCATACAGCAATATGCCTAGCAAAACATGTAAATGATGAATTTCAATATAAAAATGTAAGAATATCCAAAATAACTGGTTTGGTTGTACTATTTTAGAAGTGATGTTTTCCTTACCTATAAAAATGAGATTCACAAGTAGTGTGGAGAAATAAACTTTGATTTACAGCATATAAAGTAGCAGAGACAGCTCTGCTGCTTAAAAAGCCTGAATGTAATGCACTCGCGCGAGCCAATAAAGCCTACAGATATGTTCTTGCGCACATGCAGTGGCTTCATTTGACAACCGTGAGCTGCCAGCAAGTCTTTACACATACCTTAATGTGGTACTTATTAACCCTACTTTATAAAATAAAAAAAAATAAAAAAAAAAAACAAAAAAATAAAATTGTGCTAAAACAGTATTTTAAAAAAAAAATGCACCACCCCAACTCTCACTGCTATAGTGTGGACTTTAGTTGCATTGGTTTCATTACTTGTCTATGGAAATTATTGCAATAGCGCAGGAGATTATTCACTTGATCTGCTGGGAAGGCATGCGGCATTGCCACTAGTTTACAGGTATTTTTATGTATAGTGCAGGCACTTCCATTTAAATCATAATTCGTTTTTAACACAAGAAATCAAAGCTTGTTTCTTAAGTTGGAGTGTACCTTTAATGCACAGAGAACACTGAAAAAAAAATTAAAAAGAATATAAAGTGAAACCCCACAAACCTAAAGTGTACTAAAATGCAAGCTAATGCGGTCCCATTCCTCTTTGCTGCCCAACACAAACTTTGTTCTTGCTGGTCAGCATCAAGATTTCTGCACACAGTTTAATCAGTCCAATGCTTCTCATAAAAGGGCACTATATGTGCAACAACCCAGCAAGTCTAGCCATAAATCTAATCACAGGCTAGAGGCTTAAACGCATGCGTAACAGGTGGTCTGAGACTAGCACATTGATAACACAGCGTGGCATCCCACTCACAGGCCAGTTTTCACCTGCCCCGAAAATGCCTCCCAGTAGAAAAGACCATGAAGCGGGCATAAACAAACTGAGAAAATAAACAAAAACCCATATTCTGAAGTGGCAGAATTTCCATGTGAAATACTGCACAGATATGATCCTTGAACTATTAACAAGCCGACATTTTTATTGTGTCTACAGTAACCCCTTAAAGGCTGACAAAGCATAAACTACCGGTCTACTAAGTAATCTTGGAATGCCAGGTTCAACTAAACAGAACCGCTCCCAACATTACAAATATAGAATCATAAAAGACAAGTTATATATTTGATTTAGCAGGTGTTACATTTCCTTAGCTGCTGCCTATCTTTAAATGCTGGCCTTCTAAGAGGTCAGTGGGTGTCACGTTATTATAAAAGTCACAATCCATTCCCAATCTTCTAATGCAATTGACTCTGCTCCCAAATGACAAGCAGGCTTCTGTGCCCCTATAGTCTCCCAGTAAGTGAATGAAAATACTTTCTGGGAGTAGCTCTGGCAAACAAAAACATCCTGCACATGGGTTTTCCTGTTCTCATGTCAGTCTGTGCTTGGCACAGAGGTTGGTCCTGTGAATTGGACGGGCTGGTAAGAAGACATTTAAAAATGTCTAGATAAAAATTCCTGCTCTTTAAAGCCAAAATGTGTGCACCATGACAGGTATACTTGAAACTCTAAATGGCCTCATTTTGCTGTTTAAGTAGCTCCTAAACCCAAATTCTACCTATACGATATTCTCTAGCAAGCAGAGCCTGCAGTGGAGCACTTGACAGGATAAAGGAAAACAAGAACTTTATTTTTTTTTTTTTTTTAATATATATATATATATATATATATACACACAACAGCTAGTCAAAATACAAGACACCTGCCCAGCAAACAGCAGGAACCAATTCATAAATAGGTGCACAAAATTGCAACTTGTAAGAAATAGTGCCACAAATGTTACTTAGTATCAAACGTTAAGGAAACAGTCAAGTAAAAGGTGCAGAATAAATTGTAAAGTGCAAGGTCATTCTTATTAGGTACAGGATCTCCAATAGCTGAAAATCGACTGCTTTGAGGAAAACAAAATACTAGTGCTTCTACAAAGAGAAGCCAGCATCAGCTTACACTACTTCAGTCTATATAATCAATTACAATACGTTATGAGATATTTTGGCAGAGACTTTGTTACAGACGACGAGTCTCTGGCTTTAAACAAGACTTCTCACCTTCCCCAAGTAAAATGGGAGTCACGCTCTTCGGAGATGATGGCTTAGCAGCCATGATGGGCTCTGCTGCAGGACGCAAGTCAGGGGTTGAAGTCGTAGAAGGCGCTCCCAAAGAAGAATCAACAGAACTTACAGAAGAACTGGATTTAGGAGACAGTGGGGAGTACACACGAGAGGAAGCTATAGCCCAAAAAATAAAAATTAAGGACTTTAACATGTTCGATAACTATAGATGACTTTAATATATGAATGCAACACATACCATGATACATACAGAAATGTCAAACCAATGCTCAATTCATTGAACTAGCAAGTTAAACTGACCTGATGGCGAGGTGGACACTTCAACTGGTCTAGTGGATGGAGAAGACATGGGCTTGGAGCATCTGATTGGTCGTTGAGCTTTGGGCGACATCCGTGAGGGCCCTGAGAAGAGAATTTAAAAAAATAAATAAATATATATCTTTATTTAAAGGTATCCAACCTATATAAGACTACACCTCAAGGTTCTAAAATTCAAATGTTTCTTTGCTCTTTACCAAGTGTACCCTACACACTATACTAATTAAGGAATGTGAAATTAGGGGGAACATACAAACCCAAATGCGCATTTTCGATCATATAAAAGTAAAATTGCTTTAAAGACCAGTGCTCAAAAGACAAAGTATTCACAGAATTAGGATTTCAGCATATTACAGTCATATTCCACTTATAGCTACTACACTGTGCTCTAAATACACAATCTAATAAGGTTTGTTGACTTTTACCTCCATTGATGCCTCTCTGTTCTGGGGCAGGGCTGGAATTTGTTTCTGGATAATGTTGAGAAGATCCCCGGGAGGGTATGGAGCCTAATCCAGGTCTTCCTCTAGGCGTGCCACTTCTCAGTCCCCCACGAGGACCATCACGAACCCGCTGAGGAAGTGGAACATACTTCCCATCTCTGTGTAAACAAAACAGACTATGAATGGAGGACTCCATTCTCCGGATCTAACAGAACATGAATATATATATTTAAAGTTAGAAAGCTTTGACCAACATTACAAAGAATTGCTAAATAATTACTAACCTTGACCCCAGGCTGGGGCTGTCCCGGTCAGAGCTGGGCCGGAGGACAGCACTGTGTTTCTCCTCCTCAGTCCTGCAGTCATCATTTTCGATGGCAATCCGTGCACGATACTGGGGACTGGATTCTATCTCTCGAGCCAGTTGTGCTGCCCGTGCTTCTCGCTGCCTAAACTCTTCACTATTATCCTTTTCTAAAGGAACCCTAATAACAGACAAGGTAAGATCTAATTATTTGTCAGGAAGTGATAAAAGACGGTACAGATTCTTGGGGTGAGTAGGTGTGTGATTTCCCAAGAAGCATAGCAAAACCTAAAACCAATATGGTAGATATGGCTCATATAAAACAATGTGTGCCATGCAACACATACATAGGGGAGAGGGAGGAAACACGCCCCCCCTGCCCCCCACATTTAATTAGTGAGCTCAACAATTTTGTGTTCTGCATTCGCAATGAAGGAGACTATGTGAGAGCAAGGTTTCATTATGCAAACTATCTAATCACTCACGTGTAAGAAGACAGGCTGCTATCATATGTGGTCTTCACACCATAGTAATCTTCATTAAACTTGAACATATCGTTTGGATCCCAGCCATTTGACTGTCAAAGAAGATATTTAGAATTGAGCAACAATTAGAAGTTTTAAAAAAAGGCAAAACTAAAAGCCAAATAATCCACTAGTGTAACCCCCAAGACTGAACTCACCATATCAGAGTCGAGATCGTATTCGTCTGTGTTGGCCTCTCCTCCATCCCACCGCATTAGTACCTTTTCCTTGTGCTCACCATTTACTTTAGAGCTTGTGGCAATAGCCGAGTCTGTGAATTTATCTGAAGATTAAAAGCAAACAAGTTATGATAAAAATACAGATAGATATAGCAAATAAAAAGATAAAGACATAACACACTTTGCAACACTGGGCAAGTGTAGAATAATCTGCAAAGCAACAGTAATCGGAAGCCATATTAGAGGTTTATGGAGTAAGCCAACAAAACAAAATTGAAGGAAAGGTTTTTACATGTGGGATCAGCCAAAACCACAATAGGGGAGATATGGTATAACAGATTAATCAGGGGGCGAGAGAGCTATACAAAACATCAACTGGGGAAGAGTTCCTCAATGGATCTATGCTATATGTCCACAAACAAGGAATTGGAGCTGGACATCTATATTTGGGTGGATCTTTATTGGGAAGATCCACCCAATGGCATGTTTGACAAGGATCATTCTGTGCCAGGAGTGGAAGAAAAAGGCATTGTGCTCAAAACACCAGCCTACCCTTTGTAGCATAATTGAAGTCTACGTTGCGGAAATGAACCACTGCAACATCTGAATGCTTGAAAATCATGGTGTCCACAATATCCTCACGCTTTGGCCCCACGGTCTGGTCATTTGTCTTCTTGTGCACGGCATCAACAGCCAGCTCAAACTGCAAGAAAGGACACTATTAGTAAGACATATACAAACCATAAATTTCTTTAACCCCTTAAGGACCATAGTTCTGGAATAAAATGGAATCATGTCACGTGTCCTTAAGGGGTTAAAGGACCACTATAGACACCCACGCCACTTCAGCTTAATGAAGTGGTCTGGGTGCCAGGTCCATCTAGGGTTAACCCTGCCTGCTGTAAACATAGTTTCAAAGAAACTGCTATGTTTACACTAGGGTTAATCCAGCCTCTAGTGGCTGTCTCATTGAGTGTTTAACCCCTTCCTCCCCCTAGAGCCCGGGTGAGGGGGACCTAAAGACCATAAAGTGCCAGGAAAACGAGTTTGTTTTCCTAGCACTATAGTAGTCCTTTAATAATTAGAACTAAATGTTGGACATTCCTTGAGAACGTAATGGATTACCAGCAAGCTAATAATGTGTCATATCTATAGCAATAAAGAAATTTATATACATACCTTAGAGCTTAAGGTCTTGAAGATCCCTTGGTATACAGTACCATTTTTCACCTTCACATCACACGTTGAACCCTAAACAAACAAACAAAAAAGTGTAAATAAAGACCTTGAAGCCCCTCCTGTCACTGACTGAGTTGCCGTACATGATTACACTCTTGCCACCCATTAACATTCTATTACACCTAAAGATAATTTACTTTCAGTACAACAAGAAGCAGTTAACATGAACGGAGGCATTAGATTGCGTGTACTTTCCACAGAAAGCTGACAAAATGTATTACCTGCAGCAAGGAACCAAATTTCACAAACATAAAAAGGCAAGTCTTGTCACATAACATCTTCCAAACACATTCTCCTACCCCAAATGTGAATTTAAGGTGGTCAGCATGATGTTAATGCTTTTATTCAGTTAAAGACAGATTTGTGTAGAAATTATGTTGCTTTTTATTGAAAACTTTAAACATACATAATATCGGCACCGGTTATTGTCCCAAAAGGTGACAATCTGTATCGGCTCTGGAAAACTCATATCGGTCAATCCCTACTCTATACTCGAATGTTCAAGTTTAGTGAATGGCCACTCAGAGTACAGTTATCATAAAAACAAGAACAGGGCCATCCTAATACAAAAATCACTTTTAAACTATCGATAAGCAAGAAGCGCAGCATCAAATGCAAAACTTTACAAGTAGCAGGGCACTCATTTGGTAATACATAGAAGCCCTAAATTCTCATACTTACCACAACAGCAGTTAAAAAATGCAGCATGCGAGAATTATTATAAACCCCTTCAAAAACCTGGAAAACAAAAAGCAAACAGCATGTATTATACTCACAGAACGATTATGTGTGGTAAAGCACAGACCTATCCACTGCATTCAAGAGGATTTATGCAAATTGTCCCAGTGACATGGCCATTTTGAAGTACATAACTGAGCAGACTGAATGCTAATTAACACAAATAGATGGCAAGCAACTGCCATGAAAACAGCAAACTTGTACCACCTTTAAAGAATGAATGTCTACAGCCAGTGAGATGGCTTAAATGGGGTTACTCAAACAGTAAGCATTCATATAAGTTGCACCCTAAACAAAGCAACACCCCCCCCCCCCCAAATCAGATAATTTAATGGTGCACTCCAGGAAACTCATTAAATTTAGTCCTATCCTTCTCAAAGATGCTGCAGTGAGAGGACCAAAGGGAAATATATAACGTTTATCATATACCCCAAGTGCTCATTAAAATACACTTTCCTTAAGTTTTCAAATCAGAGCATGATAGATACAAAAAATAAAATAATAATAATAATAATAATAATAATAATAATAATAATCACAGCTTCCATTCCATAGTGCATGCACTATGCAAAACATTCAGAAAGGAAATGAGGGCACTTGAAATATATTAACATATTTCCAAATTTCAAGCATTAAGTATAAAAAATAAAAAAATTATACACGCATGTATGTTTAAAAATGTGTGATCAGACTTTTGTATCTGGCAATCTTTATAATTTGTGTTCCCAACAATGATGAACCTAATGTACTAAAAATAAACCAGATACACTGCATTTCAGAATAACTCACCGGAGGCTGCAGGCCTTTTACTATACTTCTGCCCCTGCAGGAAAAAACAAAAACACAAAGGCAGTTCAGTTAGTTAATACTCCGTTAACAAAATAAAACAAAAAAAAATTAAAAAAAAAATAAATATATATATATATATATATATATATATATATATAAAAAATAGAAGACCACTAAATTACTGCTCTGATAAGGACATCTACAGCACCCAAATGTATGAGACAACTACTGGATAGCTTATGTACAATTTGAATCCAAGCATACAGATGCAGGACAGAGCTTTATACCCTATATCAGAAGTGACAAAAAAAAACAAAGGGAAACAAAACACACGTGCAACCCATTGTTTATGGTAATGCGTAGAAAGACCACATACAAGAGAATTAGAATTGAAGAGGGAAATGTTCCCTCTTTGCAGCCAGAAACATAACTTTTGGCATATTCCAAAAAATAAAATGAGAATTTTAAAGGAAATAAAAAGCACAATCGGTAGACTCCTCTACATACCGGGCAGTGCTAAAATATCAGTAGCCACAGCTCCTGTTTAGTGGCTACAGTCTTTAGACTGCTCCTTTATAGTGCACTGTGGCTGTTATGGAGTCCCTGGGCACTGTCAAATTAAAATCTGTTAAACCATTTAGAAACTCTTTCACACTTCCCTTGCGGTGTTGGATAAACGTAGGTATTACAATCAGAGTGGCTATGATACAGTGGAAGTTTATATGACTACAATATCATACCAGGTTTAATCAATATTCATTGGATGAGAGTGGTTAGCTGACACTTATTTAATGAATACAATACAAACCTGATGTGAACCATGAATTTAATGGAACAATATGGGCATCAAGTCAGTTTAAATGTATAGGTCATAGGTAAGCAACCACTTAGTATCACTTCAGCTGCAATTTGTAAATTGAGGATTGTCCCTCACCACCTGCAATCACCACTTAGATTGCACTAGCAGATATCACTGGGACTCGTTTGGTTGCTATAGGTCATGCCCAGTCTCACTGTCCAATTTGCTGCCATTCAGGAACTAAATTGCCTGTTTCGGTTTACGTGGCCCTAGCCACAATTTCCCTGGCTGTGACCTAACCAGCATGAATTTTTTTTTTCGTTTCAGGTGTCAACTTGCTTTAGAAGTTTCTAATCTTCTGCTTTGTAAATTGAACTTTAAAATCACAAACAGGAGGCTTCTGCAGTGTCTATGAGGCAACAGAGCAGGAAATACATCATAAATTAAAAAGAATTTGCAATAAAGCAAGTTTAAATATTTAAAGGAAGCCTGTGCAAGTCACAAGCAGGGAGATGCGACTAGGACTGCATAAGCAAGGTGATTTAACTGCCAGTTGGCAGAGAACAGAGTAGTGAGACTGCAGGGGCGTGATCTATACACAAAATCTGCTTCACTGACAAAGTTGCTTTGTTACCTATAATGTCCCTTTAAGCAGTCTTAGCACCAAAAACCTCAGGGACTGCAGGTACTTTACACAGAAAGTTAAAATGTGTGAATGGGTTTCAAGATTACAGGGCAGTGCCAGGACACCTTGCACCATAGCCACTACAGTGTGCCGTTATGGGGCTTAGATTGTCCCCTTCAAGCACCATAACCACTAGAGTGGTGCCAAAAGCATCCTGGTAACTTTGACTGTAAGGAGTCAGCTGAAACCGCTTTTGAGCAGTTTAACTCCTTACCTGGGGATCACCAGGCGCTGCCCACCCATCTTTACTATTACTGCTGGAGACGTTTGTTCCGAATCAGGAACTTCTGTTACTTCGTCCTGAGCTAAGCTGTGCAAAGGGATTAGGTGTAGTGATTATGGTGCTTGAAGTAATGCTTTAAACCAATTATAGTTCTGAAAGGGTCATAATAAATATTTTTCATAGCTTGCCCTCAACAAGCTGAAACAAACTTGTGCACAAAAAAAAGTTTGTTTCACATTTAGCCAAGCATTTTGTTGCATCCATCTGTAATGAGCACACCACCTAAAACGATAAAGTTTTACAAGGTGGATTATTCATCAGGTACACGTGGGATCAGTGTGTGGCCACAGGGGTTGTTAGACAGAAGAGAAAATGGGCAACAGTAGTTGTACAAAAAAAAACAAAAAAAACCCCAAACACATTTTCCAAAGTCAGTAACAACTTAACATGACCAATAGTTAACTACATTTCCTCATTCCACCTAGCCAACTTAAGGCTGAAAGGCAGTTCACAAACATCTGCCAGTGCTACCAGGCACTTTCTACATTAGCCAATCCAACTCTAATGTGGCAAAAATAGGCTTACTGAGCTTGGTTAACATTCCCCGCTGTTATAAGAACCAGAGACAAATATTTCCTAATCAGCTTGCAATGCATTCCATTGGCAAACATGGAGCCTCCAACCAGCTTGCTTGTGGCCAGAAAGAAACATGTAAATGCCAGGGATCACATGGCATCCTAACCACTACAGTGTGTTAAGGGGCTTAGAGTGCATCAAGGAACATCAAAGCACCATAACCACTACATTTAATTGTAGTGGTTATGGTACCAATAATGCCCTGGCAACTTGCATTGTAAGGAATCAAACTGTTTATAAACAGTTTGACTTCTTACCTTGGCACCACCTCCCCTCTTCACTACTACTACTACTGGAGAGCAGCTTGCTTGAAGCTAGAAAGAAACATGTTAAGTGCCAGGTGACCCTTGTATCACAACCTATACAGTGTGCTGTGATTGAGTTTAGAGTGTCACCTTCAAAGAACATCCAAGCACCAGAACACGTAAGTTATAAATTAATTTGAATAGATCTACCTTTAATGGTTCCTCTCTGGCATCCACAAAGTAGAGGAAAATAACTTGGCTCACTTGGTGTTTAAGGGTCAGTAAAGGATGTGCTTTTCAAAATAGAAAAATACAATAAGCACACATCTACCCTCAGAATGCAGAACATCCCCAGTGTGTACCTTCCTTGAGCCCACAAGGTTAAAGTGACACTCCAGGCACCCAGACCACTTCTGCCCATTGGAGTGGTCTGGGTGCCAAAAAAAACGTACCAGGAAAGGTTTAAGGAACTTAACATGTATAGCTTGGAGGAAAGACGAGACAGGGGGGATATGATAGAAACATTTAAAATACATAAAGAGAATCACAGTAAAGGAGGAGACTATATTTAAAAGAAGAAAACTACCACAACAAGGACAGTCTTAAATTAGAGGGACAAAGATTTAAAAATAAATCAGGAAGTATTATTTTACTGAGAAGTTAGTGGATGCATGGAATAGCCTTCCAGCTGAAGTGGTAGAGGTTAACACAGTAAAGGAGTTTAAGCATGCGTGGGATAGGCATAAGGCTATCCTAACTATAAGATAAGGCCAGGGACTAATGAAAGTATGTAGAAAATTGGGCAGACTAGATAGGCCAAATGGTTCTTATCTGCCGTCACATTCTACGTTTCTATGTTTCAAAAGTGGGACATGTCGCTGCCTCTGGTAAGTTACTGAAGGGGTTTTACCTCTTCAGCAACTGGGGATTGTGGGGTGGGAGGGAGAGGGGACCTGTAGTGCCAGCACTGGAGTTTCCCTTTAAGAGTTATTTGCCCCTCACTTTCTCTCATGAATAGTAGAGCAAATATGCAAGGGACATGCCAAGGTGGACAGAACTTTTTGATGGGGAGGGCAACACAACAAGAGCCACCCACAAACAATCCTCAAGTATCTTTTCAGCAACTAAACTCTGAACGCGTGATCCTCAGTATTAGCATATCATTTGCAAAGCGTTTTGATGTTGCTTTTAGACTTAAAAAATAATTCTATAGCTTTCTGTTAAAGAAATATGGAGCATGTGCACAAGTAGGACTACGCATGTGGACGTGCAAAGAGTAGAGTGCTTATATACACAAAATAACCATAAGCAGAATCCCATTTTCTATTGAGCCTCATTTGTGGCTTCAATTGCCTTTATTTCTAACAATCATGGTTTAAAAAAAAAATTAAAATTTTTTTTAATAAAAAGCATAGAATTCAATGATAGATCACAAACTGTTTTATTTTCTAACTGCATGGGAGCACTTTGTAGCTTTGAAAACATGGTAGGTCTAACATCCCACCACAATAACCTAAACACTTGTTAACCAATGAGAAAACTGTGAGCAAACAAATGCCGCACTTTTTATTGGAATGTGTTAAAAAGGTAAACTTGGCACCATAACACTGTAGCGGTTATGGTGCCAGGGCGCCATTTGCAAATAAACAGTCTAATCCCTTTGCCGTGTACAAATGATACATTACTTACCTAATTTCCATCGCTGTGACTCCTCCATTGCAGCCTCCAGTGATGTCAGCAATAGGCTGACATCACCAGCAGTCTTGTCCAATGGAATGCGTCTCAGAGAAGCACTGGACGAAAGCGCATGCAGCAAACCCTGTGCTCTTCCAATCAACTAATATCAGCAGCACAGGGTTAAAGAACAAAGTTTTACTCAGTTGTGGAGGAATTTGTGCCTCTAGTGGCAGTCATGAAGACAGCCAGAGTTGTGTTAAACCACGTAATTTTAACATTTGGTTTTCCCCCAAAATGGCAATGTTTAACATTATAAGTTTAAAGTACAGGACATTGAGATGAAGTACTCTGGGTGACTTTAGTGGTCCACCAACCACTGCAGTGTGATGTAGTGGTTAGAGTGTATATTTGCATTTACTAGCAATTTACAGATGATTTTCAGTATGAATGGGATATAGATAAATAATGCACAACCAAATTAATGCTACATAACCCCCCCCTCCACACACAGTGTGAATGCTACATAACCCTCCACACAGTGTACAACCCCCCTCCACACACAGTGTGAATGCTACATAACCCACACAGTGTGAATGCTACATAACCCCTCCACACAGTGTGAATGCTACATAACCCCCCCTCAATGCCACAGTGTGTGCTACATACCCTCCACACAGTGTGAATGCTATACCCCCCACACAGTGTGATGCCATACCCCCCACACAGTGTGAATGCTACATACCCCCCCACAGTGTGAATGCTACATAACCCCCCCACACAGTGTGAATGCTACATACCACCCCCACACAGTGTGAATGCTACCCCCCCCCACACAGTGTGAATGCTACATACCACCCCACACAGTGTGAATGCTTCCACCACACAGTGTGAATGCTACACAGTGTGTGAATGCTACATACCACCCCCACACAGTGTGAAATGCTACATACCACCCCCACACCAGTGTGAACACACATGTGAATGCAACATACCACCACAGTGTGTGACACACAGTGTGAATGCTACATACCACCCCCCCACACAGTGTGAATGCTACATACCACACACAGTGTAGGTGTGAATGCTACAACCCCCACACAGTGTGAATGCTACATACCAACCCCCACACAGTGTGAATGCCATACCACACAGTGTGAATGCTACATACCACCCCCCACACAGTGAATGCTACATACCACCCCACACAGTGTGAATGCTACATACCACCCCCACACAGTGTGAATGCTACATACCACACCCCCCACAGTGTAATGCTACACCCCCACAGTGTGATGCTGCATACCATGTGAATGCTACATACCACCCCCCACACAGTGTGAATGCTACATACCACCCCCACACACAGTGTGTGCTACATGCACAGTGTGAATGCTACATACCAACACACAGTGTGAATGCTACATACCAACCCCCCCCCACACAGTGTGAATGCTACATACCCCTCTCCCCTAAAACATGAATTCTACAGTTGCCCCTCCCCCCCACGGTAACCCCGGACACAGCGCATGCGCGGCCCGGTAACGGTATCCCAGGGAGGGAGGGTGAGCAGACAGAACATGTGACTGATCCCGGTAACCCCGCCCCCTGCGCTCTGATTGGACAGACCCCCCGTCAATCAGTAGCTGTTCTCCCGCTGCCGGTCTCCCTTTCCCGGGGGATTAGTACATACCGTCCCGCTGCGCCCCGCTCCGCGCTCCTGCTGCCGGCGGAGGGAAGGTTCCCGTTGGGGCTCCCGGGGGAGCCGTTTCCAGGCACTGCCATGGCGGCGGGTTTGCGGCTTGGCAATGCCGGCTGCTTGAGCATGTTCCGAGGGGAGCTGGAGGGGAACCGGAGGGCAGCGCCGAGCTCGGTCCCGGGGGAGGTGGACGGTGAGGAGGATGAAGCCGGGGCCCAGGAGGTTATAATGGAGGAAAGCGGCGCGCGCCTCGATCCGCTCCAACCGCCGCCGCGAGACACTGCGCGTGGCCAGGCGCACTCACTGACTGGGGAACAGCCAGCCAATAGGAGAAGCCGATAGAGAGCAGGCGGGACCAGCACCAGCCAATGGGGAGAGCCGAAGCTGCCTCTGACCAATCAAGTGATGCGCCGAGCGAGGAAATCGTCCAATCAGCAGCCAAGAGAGAGAGGCTCGTGCGCTCTGGCTCACTTGACCCTTCGTCTCGCCGAGTGTTACCTTGGGCGCGCGGGATCTAGAATGGGGGAAGGGGAGGACCGCGTCAGCGAAACGCAGGCCAATCAGACGCCGCGCTGGGGGTGGGGCCACCCGGAGAGTCCACCAATCAGCCAACGGCTCGCTATCAGGGAAGAGGTGGAGTCACAGGGCGCCTACCTGGCCTGAGAGGGGGCGGGGGCGCGCCCCGTGCCCGCGCAGTGCCTTGTGTCATGTCGGACTGATACCGCCCGCGGCCACAACACGCACTGCCGCGCGGCTGTCCGTCAACCGTGAGGCGTGACCGCGGCAGGGAGGGGCAGGCCCCTTCCACCGCCCGATTAATAAACCGTGTGCAGCTCTCCCTAGCCACCCCCACCTCTGCGTGACGTCACGGGCACCGTGCGCGGTACCTGCTTCGGCCACGCCCCTTACCGATCCCTCCGCGCGCCACACAGGCCTGCATGGCGCGGTGCAGCGGTCGGGTGATTCAACTTTTTATGCTAGCGTATTCCTCCGCGAGTAGGTTAAAGAGTTCCTGAGAATAAATCCTTATTATTCCCACAGTGAGCCTCTTATTCATTATTAAACGATCTCCTTATTGGAGCAGTGACAGTATACACAGTACACACCAGTCAGGGTTTGCTTGTTGCTCTTTAAAACATTTCTGCCCATATTCTATGAATTAAAATGTTTTTTTTTTTTTATTGATATAAAGTGTAAATGGGAACAAATGTAACACTTGTAAAAAGGCAGGGTTTTAACCCATAAAATGCTCCACTTAATCACTATAATGCTTTATTCTGTAAACTGGAGGATTTGGAGAACAAACAAGATAATTTGCAAATTTGATGTCAAAATGGCTGTAACGTAAACCATTCTCCGTCCCAGCCCTTCTTTCTCCATTCGGCTACAATGGCGTAATATTTCCCAATCCACTTTTATTCATTTAATATAACAAAATAGTTGTCAATTGAAAGCCAAATTGGAAAATATAGCCAAATATACAGATCCCTCCTGATTGTAGGGTGCTGTACTGTTTGTTCCCCAGTTTTACACTTATTGGGAAACCAGGGAACGGTCTGTGAGAAACCGAGCATGAGCACATTAACGCCAGGCTGACATGGCAATTCTTTGGGTGGAACCACCTTTATAGACATTACCAGTGACGTAATTTGCGTCACTTGCCTTTTTGGGGGGCTATTATTTTATTATTTGTATAGCATCATCAGACTCCGTAGCGCTGTACAATGGGGTTGTTTCTTTTCTATTTTTACATATTGATTTTTTTTTTTTTTTTTACATGTTAAATAGACATTAACCCCTTAAGGACATGTGTGACATGTCAGGATTCCCTTTTATTCCAGAAGTTTGGTCCTTAAGGGGTTAAGCATCAAATAAGTACATGTAGTGTGTGTTGCAAAGTTACGCAGCTTATGCACATGGCTAAACATACCCAAGGGTTACTCGATCATCTCTCCCCTAATGCCTAACATGTAACACAGTAAAACATGTTTGGTGGAAGAACTGGAACTGACTGACCTTTCAGCTCATCAGTGCTGTATATTCTGACCTGTGAACTTTACACCTGAAACTAGCTGGCTAACAGGGGCACAGAATGTTCTTTCAACTATACCGACCATGGGTACCAGGGTTAGTAACAAAATGATATCAGTGATTCGCTGCTCAGATTTCCCCACTTTAGTGCCTTTTGGTAATGATCTTGGATAAAAATGATCAATTTTAAAATATCCTTTTGTGAGTTCAAGTGGGTAAAAGAAAACATCATACATACGATTACTGTGCCATTTGAAAATTGGTGATAGGAGTGAATTGGTCAAAGATCTGGATACAATATATCAGTAATGAACCATATCATTAAATATGGCAGCAAGACTTCTCAATTGCCTGGTTATAAAGCTTAAATGTAGAAAACGACAAATTGCTGCAAATGTCAAAAGTGGTGATTAAATATTAGATCTCTGTATACTCACACCCTGTACAATATGTTTGAAGCTGTGCCAATATTCTGATTTGCCCTACTTTCTCACCTGTTTACTTTTGTGCAAATGCAAAGGAAACAATGGGAATTTTTTGAATTGTCCCGGTAGTCAATTAAAGGAACACTAACTTTCAAAATAAATCTATTATTTTTAAAATCAGATGGTAGGTAGGTAGGTAGAGAGTATCCGCTCTGTAGCCAGATCCAGCTGCTTTGCGTAATGATTCCAAACGGCAAGACCTGTGAAATAGCAAAGAATCTAAGCGGCCTTAGCTCCTGTCTGCTTGACGGAGACTAAATGCATGTTTTTGGCAAAATGTAAACAATAAGGTGTAGTGGTTTTGGTCCTCAGAGTGTTCATTTAGCCATCAAGGGCTTGGGTGTTCCCAGACTTGTGATCTTTTACTAGCCAATGAACTGCATCCATTACCTCCTACTATCAGACACGGTGCTATGTCTGTTATTATAGCCCACACTAGTGTAGCAATGTGGAATGTGGACATATGTCTTTACAGAAGAATCTGCTAAGGACCCCTGCTTTCCCCCATAGAGCAGGGACGGCCAATATGTAGATCCTCAGTTGCAGTACAAATCCTGTAATTATTTGCCAGCTGTGGATCTGCTATTTAGCTATTCTTGCAGGTTTCTATTTTTTTGCAGTATCTGTGAATGAAGGTGTGTTTTAGTATTGAGTGTACTTGTGTGAATATTTGTGAATAATGCTGATGTTTGAACGCAGGGGGTCTGTTTGTGTGTTGTGTTGACATTTAAATGCATGGGTGTGTGTAGTGTTGATGTGTGAATGCAAGATTTTTTTATGTAGTGTTAGTGTTTGAATGCAGGGTGTGTGCATTGTTGGCATGTAAATGCAGGGCAGCGTTTGTGTGTTTTATTGGTTATTTCATGCAAATGTATCTTCACAAATACATATGTACTGCCACACACACATACAGGGTCACATTTCCATACACAGAAAAATGCATACATTGCCACACAAAGATGTCCACAGACATATATACGCATAGATTCAATCTGAAAGATACACACACATATTAACACTCATACACAGTTACATAGTTACATAGGCTGAAAAGAGACATGTGTCCATCAAGTTCAGTCTTCCTCACATTTGATTTTCTTTTGATCTAAAAGAAGGCAAAAAACCCAGTTTAAATCACTTCCAAATTTGCACAAACTAGGAAAAAAAATCCCTCTTGACCCCAGAATGGCAGTCAGATTTACCTTGGATCAAGAAGCTATTACCCTACAGTTGACACATTATATTGAATATTATGTTTTTGCAAGTATGCATCTAGTTGCTGTTTTAACATCTGTACAGATTCTGATACAATTACTTCTTCAGGCATAGAATTCCACATCCTTATTGTTCTTACGGTAAAAAAAAAAACCCTTTCCTTTGCCTTAGACTAAATCTTCTTTCTTCCACTTTAAATGCATGACCTTGTGTCCTTTGTATAGTCCTCTTTGTTAATAGATTTTCACACAGTGGTTTGTATTGATTAAACAACAAAAGAAGGAAGGTATCTAGAATAGGATAAAGGTGTAGCTGACTGCCTCAATGAATATTTTTATTCAGTATTTACAAATGAAAATGAAGGAAAGGGGCCTCAGTTAGGAAAAAGGACAAATGAGTCATTTGTTACATGTTAGTTTACAGAGGAAGAGGTTCTATTTCAACCATCAAAAGTAAAGACAAATAAGTCAATGGGGCCTGATGGAATACACCCAAAGTTATTAAAAGAGCTTAGTGGTGTACTAGCTAAACCATTAACAGATTTATTTAACCAATCATTGTTAACAAGAGTAGTCCCAGAAGATTGGAAGTTAGCGAATGTTGTGCCCATTTACAAGAAAGGTAATAGGGAGGAGTCCGGCAACTATAGGCCAGTAAGCCTTACTTCAGTAGTGGGGAAAGTAATGGAAACCATGTTATAGGATAGGATTGTTGAACATCTAAAATCACATGGATTTCAAGATCAGAGACAACATGGGATTACTTCAGGGAATTAATGCCAAACTAATCTTATTGATTTTTTTGATTGGGTAACTAAAATAATAGATCAGGGTGGTGCAGTAGACATTGCTTACCTAGATTTCAGTAAGGCTTTTGACACTGTTGCACAAAGAAGGCTTATCAATAAACTGCAATCTTTAAGTTTGGATTCCAATATATTGTTGAATGGGTAAGGCAGTGGATGAGTGACAGGCAACAGAGGTTTGTAGTCAATGGAGTATATTCGAAGCATGGGATTGTCACCAGTGGGGTACCTCAGGGATCTGTACTTGGGCTTACCATATTCTTTTTAATATTTTTATCAGTGGTAAGGTATGTCTTTTTGCTGATGATACTAAGCTATGTAACAGGGTTGATGTTCCAGGAGGGATAAGCCAAATGGCACATGATTTAGGTAAAGTAGAAAAATGGTCAGAGTTGAGGCAGCTGACATTTAATGTGGATAAGTGCAAGATAATGCATCTTGGACGTAAAAACCCAAGGGCAGAGTACAGAATATTTAATAGAGTCCTAACCTCAACATCTGAGGAAAGGGATTTAGGGGTAATTATTTCTTATGACTTAAAGGTAGGCAGACAATGTAAAAGAGCAGCAGGAAATGCTAGCAGAATGCTTGGTTATATAGGGAGAGGTATTATCAGTAGAAAGAGGGAAGTGCTTATGCCATTGTACAGAACACTGATGAGACCTCACTTGGAGTATTGTACACAGTACTGGAGACCGTATCTCCAGAAGGATATTGATACTTTAGAGAGAGTTCAGAGAAGGGCTACTAAACTGGTTCATGGATTGCAGGATAAAACTTACTAGGAAAGGTTAAAGGAACTTAACATGTATAGCTTGGAGGAAAGACGAGACAGGGAGGATATGATAGAAACATTTAAATACATAAAGGGAATCAACACAGTAAAGAAGGAGACTATATTTAAAATAAGAAAAACTACCACAACAAGAGGACATAGTCTTAAATTAGAGAGGCAAATGTTTAAAAATAATATCCGGAAGTATTACTTTACTGAGAGGGTAGTGGATGCATGGAATAGCCTTCCAGCTGAAATGGTAGAGGTTAACACTGTAAATGAGTTTAAGCATGCGTGGGATAGGCATAAGGCTATCCTAACTAGACGATAAGGCCAGGGACTAATGAAAGTATTTAGAAAATTGGGCAGACTAGATGGGCCAAATGGTTCTTAGCTGCCGTCACATTCTATGTTT